TTTCAGGAATGCTCGATCACTCATCCAATCTTATTTTCAAACAAATACCTTCCTATCCTCATGATGCACAGATGGAGAGCACGACGGAGAAAACCACGTGGAACAATCTCGCACTCAGCCTCACTTAAGGGTACATGACCAGCTCAATCAGTATTCAGAAGGACTTCGACTTCACGTGGCCCCATATATCTACATACAGGAAAACCAGATTATAAACTCAAGGAGAGCAGAACCCAACGTTGTTTCTTTTAGCGCCCAAGGACGTGGACTTATTTTTCAGAAGGGAAAAGTGATATTGTGAGCCAATCATAAGTAGCCAAATGAGAAGTTCACTTAATGACAATCCGAAATGACCTGAAGGACGAATACATATCATTGGCTAATAAATGGGTTGATTTTCCAAGGGATAGAAATATATTTATATAAATGAACTTTTTTGGTAGCTCAATAGGCTTACTCTTCCACCTTTGCCTTCTAACTCAAGTAACCAGTTTGGGGGTTTAGCGCGCAACAGGTTGTGTGTTAGTGTTATAACTTGTGGTCTGTGTGCCCTGCTAATGTATAACGTAATGATACCGCCAAATAGAGAGCAGTGAATTATCGATCTGAACATTGACGCATAAAACCGTGCGAGCAGTCTATAGTACTTATCGGTTCATCTTCCTGCCTAGCCCAGCCAGTTAAGTCCAGAACACCAATCTCAGCCTTTGCAATATGAATCATTTATTTCAAGCATACTGGGTTTATATACCAATCAGACAGACCACATCGTACCATAAAATGGAAAATAACATTTGTACAAGATTTAGCCAGACGTGGCTGTGTGAGATGTAATAATTAATAGACAGGGCATAATTCGAAAATGTAAATCGTATAATAATAGTTCATAGGTCAAAATGAAGCTCATAATAAGAAGGAACATGAATATGAACAGTTTAGTTATTTAACAATTATACAATAAAAATATAAGCATAGTGTTGGACCATAAATGGATCCCAAAGTTACCATTCATTATTCTTATCGAACCATTACAGTATCAGATCTCGGACACCGCCCATCATATCACAATCATTTTCAACATTCTGAATAGTGCATAAAAGTATTTTCACCGCTCATTATGCTATTCAGATTCTTATAAAAAATCAAGATTTACGATGTCGATTTTCATTGGTTTGATACAAAAATCCTCATGATTACTAACATTCAACATGTATTCAGTCAGCAAACAACATTTTTTTAGCAATGACAATAAAATCATGACATTTATTAGTCATCGTTTGATACATCCAGTCGTTTTGCTATTCAACGCTTGTTTAGTTTGTACAAAACTTATGTTCATAGAAACTTACATCTGCATGTAATGTCGCTGAACACTTCATTGGTCTATGATTACCCAAATAGATCAAAGGTAACGTTTCAAATTCTGGAGCTAGTTGATGCGGATTATCCTCATGGACAACATCAGTTCCTTTGAGTCTGCATAACCCATCCTTACGCAATCCAGCCTGTTGGTCTCGAAGTAGGGCATCTACTGCGTCTTTCATCCGGCTCAGCAACACTGCCGAAGACTTTCCCTGGTACTGACAGTATTGTGATGCCTCTGTAGTTTTCACATTTGCTCAGATTCTCTTTCTTTGGAATCTTGATGAGGTTTCCTTCTTTCCAGTCCGTCGGCACTTGTTCCTCCTCCCAAACCTTCTTGAATAGAAGGTGAAGTATGTTTATGTTTACTTCAATGTCTGACTTCAGTGCCTCAGCTGGCATATTGTCAGGTCCTTCTACTTTCCCACCCTTGATTTGTCTGATGGCCATCCTGATTTCTTCGGTTGTTGGTGGAGGGACATCTATGGGAAGGTTTGTGTGTGCTGCTTCTATGTCCAGTGGATTCAATGGAGCTGGTCTATTTAAGAGTCCTTACTATTTACCGAATGAAAAACTTTGATCAGATATAAACATGGACATACATAAAGGCACCTCAGTTATATCTATCTTATTTCTTATATCGTACTTATTGATTTTTATGTGGAAATTTTAAATGTCATAAACTCTCATGCATAACACAGAATCATTTGGGTGCGTAAACCTAATAAATGCTTTAAATATAAAATATTCTTCAGTGTACTTTATGTCAAGATTATCAAGGATCATAGATCGGACATGAAAATTCCTATGATTTTTAAGTCGAAGATCGTTGGGCTGGAATCCTGCGAGCGAAATCGTAGATGCGCACTGCTGAGGAGCTCCACAATAGCACGAAACGGCCGTCCAGTGCTTCCAGGTTTTCAGTGGTGGTCGAACATCAATCGGTTTACGATCTCAGTCAAACATTAACACCATTGGATGCCGGCTCAATGGTTCTTTCATTTATTCCAGTCAACCAAATTGGACACGATCTACAAGGATCACAACGCCATCAAGTTTCCTTTAATTACTCACTGAGTTGTAATTTATTTTTTGTCAAGGGGGAAGGTGATGTGAACAGAGAAGCAATAAGCCTTGAAAAACTACGGGATCTATTTTTGGGAGTGTTACTTCATTTAATTCAAAGCTTGTAAAACTAACATTTATTTTTGATTAAGATCATGAACCGATTGATATTAGACCACCGTTGGAAAGCTGGACGGCCGTTTCGCTTTATTTTGGGACTCCTCGGCAGTGTGCATCCACGACCCCGCTCGCGGGATTTGGACCAAGGGCCTTAAGCCTCGCGTGCGAACACTTAACCTACTGGACCACTGAGCTGGCATCCAATGGTGTTAATGTTTGACCTCAACCAATCCACGAAATTGCGCGTCCATCTTCCAGTGTACTGAAGTAGATACCAGTCTCTACCCGACACGATTAGCTTCACTGGTCACGGCTTCTCACTAGGACTGTGGGAATTCCCCAATGAGCACATGTTAATTACCAGTATAGGGTTTGTGGAGATTATTAAGTTTTTGATTGAGGTCGTAAACCGATTGATGTTAGACGACTGTTGGTAATTTAGACTATTCTGCAGGTCATAAGCTTTCGTTTGATGTATGATTCACTGTCATAGCCTTTTCTGTTCCAAAGCTATTGTAATTTAAACGTAGTCTTTTGTACTCTATTTTCTACTCTAATCCCTAGCTCTGGACATAATTGTATTTTCCCAATTGTTTGTGCGCTGTGGTCTGGTTAAATACCTATTTCTTCATGTATCTTTTTACACTAATCTGAAATCGGGAACCATATCGGAATTAGAAATAAATCGAGTAGTGTTACAGTTGAATTGTCTTCTCTCACTCGCGTGCTTATCAGCCAAGCATGTGATAGGATAGTTTTTGTTTGTCTATCACAAGCAGTTGGTTTCATCTCGAACTCACACATACTAGCTACAAAGCTAATCAAATCGGCCTATCGCGTCAAGGTCTTAATCTAGAATACACAAGTTATCCTCTGTACAAAAGTGAGTAGACAGATCAAGGACATAACATCATAATAACTACCGCTTCCAAACAACTAGGATCAGCTCTATTTTGACATAACGCGTTAGAATAATATTACTGAGACAGATCAATATAAATCGGTGGATGAATTTATTGATTTCAATTAGTATAATCTAACCTATATATCAGACAGCAAACTGACAAAATTGTGAATCAATCAAATCACTATACAGTAAAATACACTGTCATCTCCCACAAACGACAATAATACAGAGAAATCACTTCCCGATGGACAGCTTCTTAGTAGTAACACTTCAGAACAGAATATTTCTTTTGAAAATAAAACAACTCACACAAATTAAAATACATTTTACCAAATAACTATATTAAGTCTAAGATTATTTTTATTCACTTGAAGTTGATCGATCATTAATTGTCTGGGTGTTTAAAGCTTGACTATTACCTGACAATGCTGTTAATTTAGGGGTTTTTGGTAGTTCACTTTGATTATTGTCGAATAGTTGAGTTTCTTCTGAAATACTTTCCTCTATGTTATTATCAGAGTTTTGTCGCTGTCATAATGATTATTGTTAATAGAATGCCTCGTATCACTATTATCATTACCACAACTATAAACATCTATACTATTAGTAGTGGTGGCAGTAGTACTATCATTACTACATATCCAATTCACGTAATCATGATTCACATCAAATCTCAATGTGATATGATCAATTAAAATTGTCGCGAAATCCTTCAGCTCAACTTCTTCGTCTAGAAAAAGAGAACAAAACAAGACGAAAAACAAAATAGACCATGGAATAATAAGTCGATAAACAAATGAATAACTGAAAATATGACGGGTTAGTTGATGTCTGTAAATCAATATGCAATTAGAATCTTTCTAATCCTGGCTCTGCCCATCATTACCATTTTGCATATTATAGAATTCTCGTTACTACAGGCTGACGTAAAATATTTATTACAAATGTTAGGGAATGATTGTAAATCAAGATTTTTTGAATGTGGTGCAATTTCATCTAAGCGCACAACTATACACAGAGTCCTGACAACCCTTAACTACACTAAACAAACAGATAGTGGAGCAAATATTAATTTTAACCATTATGAGATAAAAGAAAATTGTATCATAACATCGCATGATTGATTGTATTTGGAAAAGAGAAAAATTATTATTCAATTGGTTGATACCACTGACATGATTGAGTGGTTAAAGTGTAGAATTGTTTCTCGCCTACATTTTTATATCCTTTTCTTTCAGATCACATTTCTATAATACCGTATAAGATCAGAGATTGGGTCTTACAACTATAGTCTGAACAAACAAACGCATCTTTAATATATTGTACATTTATGGAGTATAAATTTGCTATGTTTAAAGCCATTACGAGTTCACTTAGTATGCGAACGGAACAAAGACCAATAAACTAGTTATTCTATTGCGTTCCAGCCCCGCTAACTAGAGAGAGGAGTCAAAGTCCGAACGAAGAAGCATATTTCGCGAAAAGCCAGAAGCACGAGTAATCACAACAGACACAGATCAAAACGTATATATACAGCATAAAACCGTCCTTGGGAAGCGTTACAAAATAGCATACTAAAAGACACAACGGACCAATGGCGTTTAAGATTCTCCTAAGTGGGAAATACGACATGAAGGTGAAAAGAGAGCTTTTGGCGCGAAAACAAAGAAATTCAAATCCTCAAAATAAAGACCTTTTCCAAGTGAGTTTTGGTGATCTAACGTTCCCAACAAAATTACAATAATGTCAGTATAACAATAGGAAAAAAATATAATCAGCTAAGGAGTTGTATTGGATTCCATGTGATCGCATCGTATTGACTGCAAAGCGATTTTATGATATTTGCAAGTCTGATTATCGAATAGTTCATCTATGTTTCCAATAGAAACAGTGACCTATGCTTGAATTAATACGTCGACCAACGGACAACAATCAAAACGTTTACGCTTATTGGTTATTTTTGCTGAACTTGTAGTGATGGTGAATATTCTGTCAAACACCATTAACAGAATACATTAACAAGACTATGGTTTAAAGTATTTATTTTTGATTCTAATCTCGGTCGTAGCACCATCACACTCTCTTAACAGGGGTGAACTATTTTGCGAAAGGCTAAGCCTATGATTGACATCTTGAGTCGAGGGTGCTAATGGGAAGAATTTCCACGCGTCTATCACTTTCCTAGTGATCTACTAAATCGAACCGAGAAAAGATTGGTGTGATTCACTCTCCACAGCCATGAAACCACGCCAATCTTGTCAAACTCTGCAGAGGAAGGAGTGTTATTAATTGTTAACCTGGTTTTTACTCGATTCGCTAACAAATCACACGTCTAACCGTGAAGACCCCCTTCATAATCTAGTATCATTAGCGAATCGCGGAGAAAACTCGGGACATGCCAGTATGTGCCTCTTTACAGTACTAGTGTCTGATCAACCCCGTTACTAGATGATACTGCTGGGTGCTTAAAGAGCTCTGGGAACTCCGAGTATTTCAGGCGCGCCCCAGTACATACTAATCCATTCAGCATTACGGGCGATAATTTCTTCAGATCATTATGACCATTTAGTTTTTCATTTATTGAGTCTTCTCAGTCTTATTCACAATTCATCATAAACTTTGTCCTGAACTGTTACCAGTGTTTTGTGTCTGATGGCTTCGAGTTCATCGACCTTTAACTACCCCAGATTGAAAAATCATTACTGGCCGGGAGAATGTAAAAACTAACAAAAGAAGCACACAAGTACTATGAACTGTGTATTTGAAGCTCAATCAGCTGTGTAGGATGTGTGACCCTGAGCTTCCTCACATAAACTCTACTGACACAAACAGATGTAAACATAAACAAATTTTAAATATGGAATGTAAAACTATTATTTGTTACCTAATGGCTAAATTATATGGATATTGTATCAGAATGTAAATTATTATTTATATCTAATTTGTACAGATAAAAAGATATATCACAAAGGAATGCTATGCAAATAAAAAAGTATCATGCAAAACAAATTACAAGCATTAAAACTAGGTAAGAACACTCTTACGCTGAAAATAAATGTTTCTAATTGCTCTAACCAAGTAGAAGAAAGAAAGATTCAACCCTGGAACCAAAAGAAATCAGTATTTATTTGCACAATTATGAGTAACGTCTAGTTGTGTATGAATGTTAATGGTGATATTGCGCATGAACGGATGTTTTCTGGTGTAGGAGTAGGTTGGAAGAAAGCTAGGGGCGGCCAGACCAAAACATGGCACAAATCCATGAAATCTAGACAAGTGGACTAAGCCATGTCGGTAGATGTAGACTACCTGGTTGGAGACCACGAGATGATAGCAACCGATGGTTAGAGACCTTGAATGACATGGCTCAAAAACGATTGCGATGGCGCAGGTGCATCCACTCTCTGTGTTCTCTCAAACCCTAATCTTCCGTATTCTTCATGTCCTTTATTTTCTTTACAAATCTATTCCACTGGACTATACTCCTTAAATAACATCGTCAAACCCTAATGTTCCCTATCACTACCTCTACCACTACGGGATTTGAATCGATAACTGAATCTCTGTGCTAATGTGGTATGGCAACTCAAACTGATGTACGTGCGTACGAAGTTCCACGTTGTTACTTACTGACTGACTGACTACATGAACGGAAAAACATTAAACGATGGGATCAATGCCAAGATAGCACTTGATAGTTTTAAACAAATTGACCATTGGCCAGAAGGTTAATAATAAATCGACATTTGTGATACAACAACGAGTTAAAAAAATGTATTTCTGACGTTTCGTAACATAATGTAAATAACTTCGAACTAAATAAAAGACCGAAATAAAACAAACACCACTCTATGTAGTACATTATGATATATTACCATACAAATATTATAGTCATTTATTTATTTTGAAGTTTATTTTCTTTATTTCAACACATAAATACTGGTACAACAGGGCACCAAATATATATGCGCCACACAAAACAATGAGAATTTATAAAGAAAGGAAAAAAACGTTAAGGAACGTAGGGAATTGTTAAAAAAGAACAAAAATGAGGGAAACGAAAAGGTTAAATCAGGAGAAATCTTTCAATTAAGGAAGAAGCAACCACTCTTTACGAAGAAAGTAAAAGAAGGTTACAGCAGGATCGCCACTGGCTTCTGTCCTGAGCCATATCTGATAACATCTCTAGTCACTGAGTTACACCATCTCTCGGACCCCAGCCACAGAGTCGTGAAGGACCAACACAAGCCAGCTCTTTACAGCTTCCTTTAATACCACGATACCATGTCATATACTGACCACCTCTCCGCTTTTTCCAACCAGTCCCAGAGTCGGCAAATAATGCACAACGTGGAATTCTCTGGGACGACATTCGTAGAGCATGTCCAAGCCACCGAAGTCGGTGTTTCAAGATGGTAACACCAATTGGATTTTCGTCTCTGTGCCCGAACACACGATGCTGAACCTCTGCATTACTAACATGGTGTTGCCACTGGGTGTCAGCAATCCTTCGGAGACAGCGATGATCGAACACAGAGAGTAGTCTAACATCCTCAACTCGGAGAGGCCAGGTTTCACACACATAGAGCAGAACTGTTCTCACCGACACATTGTACATCCAACATTTTACAGCCAGACTAACATCACGAAGGCGCCAAAGTTGACCCAGACTGGCATAAGCCGCTCTGGCTTTCACCATACGTGCATCGATCTCATCACTCACGCCACCACCAGCACTTATGCAGCTACCCAGATACACGAACTTCTCGACTACTTCTATCTGCTCACCATCCAGAGTGTGTACAGAATCGGAACCCTGCCAGTCTTGTAGAAGTACTTTGCACCTCGGAGGTGCAAAGCACATACCATACCTACGGACACTAATTGCCAACTGATTAAGTGCGGATTGCATGGCTTGAACATTCTCGCACAGTAAGACAATATCATCCGCATACTCAAGGTCGAGAAGTCTTTCTCCATGCAACAGATCCACACCACCATTACTTACATCCATCAGAGCTGTTTCCAGAATGTCATCGATGGCAAAGTTTTAGAGGAGTGGTGAGATTGGGCAACCTTGCCTAACTCCACTGCTTGAAAGGAATAATGGAGAAAGGTGATTGTATGTCCTCACTCTTCCTGAGGTGTTTGCATATAGGGCCTTTAAGATGTTAATAAACTTCTCAGACGTACCCCGTTATCTGTCCTGCGACCAACAAGTCCCCATCGGCCACCTAAACAACTCTCTTCTGTGCCTAGACGCCCGACCTGAGCATTCAAGTCTCCGGCTAGTACTACAATATCTGTCGAGCGCACTTTCTGGAGAAGAACAGTTAACTGGTGGTAGAAATCGTCCTTGATTGCATCCGGGCTGCAATCTGTCGGGGCATAGGCGGAGGTGACGAAAAAGACATCGTTTCTCACGCCGATTTCTTCTCACTTTGATGGAACTTTCAAATTTAACAGCACATAACCGACTGTTAATGGGGATCCAATCGATTAGTGCTGCCTCAGCTCTAGTACTTAGTGAGACACCAACGTCAGCAAGACCAGACGAAGATGCCACAGCGTCCCCGGATAAACGCACGTAAAACAAGCTTTTTCAAGTGACAGATGGAGAGCGAACTTGTAGTATTTCACCAGAGTCTTGAATACGGGTCTCGGATAGACAACACACTTCAATATTAAGACTTTCCAAAGACATAGCCAGCCCCATCTATTGTCCGACCT